GAGATTTTTTTTTATCATAACGGGAACTTTTTAAAATATATAATAATGAAACGTATAATAAAAAGAGATAACAGGGACAAAAAAAGGAAGAAATATTAGGTGAAATTACCTAACTGCCACCAACAACCGATAAAGATACAAAAAGGAATTAAAAAAAAAAAAAAAGAGTGGAGGAGAATCTGAGATTTGTAACCGTTAATCTTCGGGGATTTATATAATGACCGTTGGATCATTGATCCGACTATGGAAAATAAACCGGGTGACCCGAATAACCCGGAGACAGCTCGTTTGTATAACTTTAGTTGTCGCGTCTAAACCGTAACTACCGAACCAAACTAAACCAGTATCTTAATCCTGGTTTTTTATTGGTCCATTACCATTACTAATTTATCGTGTTTTTTTTTTATGTTTCTGTTAGTGAATAATATAGTACACGATTAACTTTAATTTTATTTTGGAGATATCCTACCATTTTCAAAAATGAATATTTATGAAGTGCTCTTCGTCAAAATTACTAGAGCTAACTAACAAATTAATCCAAATGTAGTAGCTATGTAAATGAGTAAATCTCTATCACTCTATGTGAGCAAGTAATAGCTTTTTAAAGTAAATGGGATTTGTTTACATGAGTGTTCAAACTTTGATTTATTTTTGGTCAATTACATGTACTCTCATATATATAAATCTTCTGCTAATTATTTAGCTAATCTTCGCTTTCAATAAAAAGATATTCTAATTAGGAAAAAGAGACGAGAAACGTAAAAACGAAGGCAAAGAGCAGTAGCCAACTCAGCCAACGGCTTCAACTACGGGCCTTCGAAGCAAGAATCCTTCTTTTTAATTTCTTTTTTCTCAATCACTCTTTTTCTTTTTTCGTAATGGAATTTGCTTTTATTTCAATGTATATTATAAATTATTCTATAAGACATCATCTCAACTATATAATAGTCACACTGTTTTAATGGTGGGGTTTTAAATCTTGTCTTCATTAGACAATTTGAAATTTGTTTGTCCCACAAACCAATATGAACAAAATATATACCAATCAGTAGGTATTTTCATCAGTAAGAATTAACGCAACTTTTGCTAGGTTTTGTTGTTTTATTAAGAGTTTAGCAAAGATAGCTCACCTACTAATTTACATGATATATTGTTTCACATATTTGTTAAGTCTTATAATCTATATTAACCAGACGTTTTAAATTAGTGTTTATTATTTAACCAAATATCGTATTGAAAAAAATAGTGATATAGGGTTTGGTTGGTTGAGCTCGACCCGAGAATATTTTCTTGAGATCAAACTAAATTTAATTTTGAATTTGGTTAAAAAAAAAAGAAAATAACTATGCATTTGGCTTTAATTAAATTTATTTGTGATTTCGTTTTGAAAAAAAACTTGTTCGAACAAAACTAAAATGTAAAATTTTGTTCAAAAAATAAAACGTAATTAGATCAGATAGATTTAGTTCATTGGTGTGTTAGATCTTTCCAAAATAGTGACAAGTCTAATCTTCTATATTCAAAAGAATCGAAACTACTTAAAAAATATTTAATTCTGATGGAGAGACGTAAAAACGTTAATCTGAATTCTTCGAACTCATTTTAAACAAAGAAAGAAAAAAGTATAATTAGCAACAACAACAAAGAAACGTAGATTAGATGTACGGTGAGGATTGAGACGAAGAAAGATATAGAAAGAGGCTGATTAGTCGACGTGTGGCTTCTCTGCTACAAAGGACCCACTAAACCGGTGTTTGTGTGTTAGCGCATGCATCAGATTATCATTTGGCACCCATGCTTTTATCTTTTTAATATCTTTCATTATTCTTCTATGGATCCCAACTTGTCCTTGTTTTGTATTTTTTCTATTAAAAAGACAAAATATATAATAACATTCTGAATAACTACGACGTAATTAACGTTTAGGGTAAGCCAAAAGCCTCAAAGAAAACCAAAAATGCCGTGATCGACGACATGGACAAGTGCTATTGATGTGTTTCGTCAAATAACTTAAACTAAACTTTATGCAAATAAGAATTAACGATCGCAAAACAGTTTAAAATTTTATATAATTATTTGAATAGATCATATTTACGCATGTCTTTCTTTCTAAGAAAACGGTACTACTAAGTACTAACTAGTGTAGAACATTGCAAATACCGACCAGTTTTGTGTTGTGTCATGTGTGTGTGTTTACAAATCAGTGAAACAAAACAAAATGGAATAGTGACATTTGTGTCGAAAGCGTTTGGGAAACGCATATAACACGCTTCACCATTCAAATCGTATGCCATGATTATGATTTTATTGATTCGTTAAATAATTCTAATTGTCATGATTATGAATTTATGAATTTGATTGAGGAAGAGAGGATATCGACTTTATACCTAATTGCCAGCATCAACACTTAATTAGAATTTATTAGTATCAAAAAAATGATTTGCTGTCTCTGATCAACCTTATATTTTCAATTAATTTATTTCAAATCAACGATATGTCATATTTGTCTGTCTCCCTGCCCATGCCAGGTGATTTGATTACTAAATATCATAGTTAATTGTGATTATTATGGAATCTTATTACTTTATGACGCAATATTTTTATCAATGAAAACGTTTGCAAATGTTACAGGATCTTATCTGAACCTTAATTATAACATTCGACCGTATAGAAGCCCTAACAACATCAATTTATTATCATCAATTTTCATTTCTGTGATTAACTATCATCATAGTAATTAACGAAGAAAGATAAACAAATCAATGCTCTGTATTCATAGACGAAGAAGAAAGATGGGAAGTATCTTTGTATTTTGGCAGTTACGCTAATCCAACTGACATACCCAAAGATTCTGGTCCCTACGAAACCATTGTTGTCGTGATTGTATTTTTTATTTTTCCTTAAAATATTCTATTCACAAGTCATAAATACTAATTATATAGTACATAAATGTAATAATACTACATACTTGTACATTCAATATAATATTTTATATTTTTGGAGACTCTATTTTGTTCCACCTGAATTTTTATTTATTTATAAAACGTGTGTTTTTTTTACTGTAGTCAATAGCTTTGCTGAAAGAATTGAATATCATATGAATAATTGATATATTTTTTGATAAAAAAGTTTATTTTAGAAAATTTGAGTATAAATTCGGTTTTTCTAGGCTTAATTTATTTTTTACTCATCTAAAAAACTAGAGGAAACTTCAACGACTCAACTAAAAAATGAAACGTTCTGTCAAGATATATTTTGTTTTTGTTAAACTAAATATGAATAAGGATGTATAGTCTAGATGCTGTCTGAAACTTCTCTGGTTCTGTACCAAAAGAATCTAAGACATATTGTCGTAACTCGTAATTAGGGAAATCTTGTGGCGAATTATTTTGTTATATATATACTTAAATATAATCTCTTTCCTATTAAAAGAGAAGTACAATTAGTTAGAATGATTATTTGTTTTAATT